ATAGGAAAGCAAAATCATAGTAATATGTGTAAATTCATTCTGTGTTGATGACAAAATCTTATGAGGTTTTCTCATATGTGGGCCAAAATTGTGATAAGAATGACCATTCAAGTTTGAATTTGTCTTAAATGAATACTTAAGATGATTCTCTTCCACACAGAGAAAAACCTGCTTCATGACTATGGACATAATAAACCTTTTGCTGGAATTAAAATTTCCTCTTTACCTAACAAGCTCTCTCTCCTCTATCAAAATAAAAATCTTGGCAATTTTAGTCTGGATCTGATTTTGGCTTACTAGAAAGTATTGAATTCATAGGATTGAAGTTCTGTTTACTTCTAGCTTAAATATTAATCATAGATATATTGCATCAAGGGAATTTGTAACAAAGATTGGATAGTTTATTCAAACTCAAAGCGAACAGCTAAGATAAACTTTTATGTACTTGTACTAACCTTATTTCCTTGATAAGCTGGAGATTATTTTAAATGTGTTATAAAATTACTTGCAGACGTTCAGAAGTCATACAAAAAAAAAGTTCCTAATTCATTCACAAAGTCATAATTTTCTGTCTTAAGCCATGTTGTATAAGTAAGCAGTGGTGAAACTGAGGTTTAGATAAGAATTGGTGACTGCTGTACCCTTAACTTAGGTAGGCCTGCACTTCTAATTCTGACTGCAGTGATTTGAACAGCTCATACACCCATGTCTTCCACTGTGTCTGTTGCCAAGTGACCTACAGACCTTTCTGCATGTATGCTAGCATAATTTTTTTTGCTCAATCACAAGCTGAGCAATCTGGCACCTATGTCATTCTTGTCACTTTATTTGTATTTGTTATGATTGGGTTTTACACACTGTAAACAGCATCAGTGGGGATGCTTTTGCTTTTTGTGTAGAACAATTGATATAAAAATGACTGCAAGATGATATGTGGTTGGGGAATGCATGTCAGTCATTCTCAGTGAACTGTGGTTAGTGGATGAGCAGTGCATCATGCTGATGATGTCTGTGTAAAAGATGCACCAAGGAATGACAATTGGAAATATTAAGAATATTTTGAAAAGCAGGAGACAATAAAGCTGAAGTTAATACATTTGCTGCCAATTTCAGGGGCTGAGAAATCTTGCTTTTTTTCCTCCTGTTGGAACAGACCACAGCCACATGTGTTTTGCTGTGTTCTTGATAAATGTTCCTAATGTGAGCTAGCAGCTGGGGTCAAATTCACTTTCATAAACATATATGTTTATCACAATTTGGGTTGCTGTATAGCACCTGGCTAAACCTCCAGCTACTCTTGCAGTCTGGTGTGGGCCTCATTGGCTCTATGGATGTCTGGACGTATTAAGATACCGCTAGATGCCTATATTGATGTGCTTGAATTGAACTTCAATTTCTTTATAGTAATTTCATTTATAGTCATTTCTTTATAGTCAGCAATAGTTTCTGACTTTACTTAAACATTTGTAAATCAGCTTTTGTGGATTATTTCTTGTTACAGTTGGGTGAAAACCTAGCTTAGCTTGTATGTATGACGGGTCTCTCCTGTTCCTGACATACGGTGATATGGTTAGCTTGTAGTAAGGTAAATATCCATACTGCGTAAGCAGACTGTGAATTTACAACTCTGTTCCCTTCTCCCTCTCCTCTCTGGCCACAGAACTGTGTGGTCACCCACTGTCAGAATGATAAGTGCAATAGAGATACCAAGACTCAAGTGTGGGGGACTCCAATCAATGTCTGATTAAGCCCATCAGTGTTAGTATTTCCCAGCTGCTGTGTCACTAGGATGTGGTGACCCCTGTCTTTAAACAGGGAAACATGAAAATACACATAGCACTGCCTGGTGTTTTAAAGTCAGGCAGCTCCAAGCCCTAAGTGGGACTTAGGCAGGAATTGCTGCTAGAGAGCAAAGCCTATGCTGTCCCATGGCCGAGGATGCCTCCACCAATATCTTACTCCAAGGACTGAATGACTCAGGATTTTCTATGTAAAGTCTGACTCCAGGTCATGAGTATAATGCATGCTGATTGATAGGAATTTGGATCTGAAAAGAATTCAGGTGACTGAAAGGTCCATGTAACACCAAATTTTAGAAAATCTGTGGAAATATAGGCAACGCTAAGAGCTACAAATTATATACAATAACCTACACTGATTGTTAATTATTTTATGCAATGATAAATCTCTAATTATGACCACAGCCCTCAGTCTGAGAAGAAACCCTAAAGAATGTGCTGGTCCTCTGTATTGTCAGGTCACAACTGATTAGTTTTTTCAGATCTCCCAGACTTGAATTTGTATAGGTATTTAGTTACTGCTGTGTGGTTATAAGAGGGGTGTACAGATTTTTGTTTGTTTAGTCAAAAGGATTGCATGTCTTTAGCTGTTACGCTTATCCAAAACCTGTGTCTTTTCCAGTAGTAGTCTTCTCAGATTCTGATTGGAGGTTGTGTGGTGTATGTGTGCAGTTGGGGTGTAACTTCTATTTCCCAGATTTCATATTTTCTTTCTGTGCTGTGTAGCAGCTCGTGTCTGTTTGAGCAAGTGAAATACAGAATGGGAAGGAAAGAAGGCTTTCTGATAATCTGCTTATTTAAGCATTTGTGTTGCTTTAAGCACAAGTGAGACTAATTCACATTTAAATTAAATATATGAATGATTATTTGTATACTGACCAGAGTTTTTTCCTTTTTTTTTTTTTTTTAGTTATTATTTCTATTGGCGTCAAGAGAACTAATTTCCAATGCAATGCAAGTAGCATAATATTTAATTATTTTAATAGGTTTGACACAAGGTTGTTTATAAGTGCTCTTTGGTCTGCGAACTTCACCATTATCTAACGTGTTTTAGTCTGTAATCTAGACATTATTAAGCATTTATTTAAGAAGACAAGATTTTGTTCTCAAGTATATCATGTGATATTTAAATGCGGGAGGCTATTAAATTGAGTAGCTATACAGTTGAGTCATTCACTTTCAAACAGATTAATGGAATGATTGTACAGGCAGGAAAAAAAAAAACGCCTTGCTCTGCAACTAGGTTTTTAATTCCTTGTTTCGTTTTATTTCTGCATAGTTTGCTGTGTGTTGCTTAATAAGATGAGGATTAATTTTCAGTTTCAATTTTCAACTTAGGGTCAACAGTTGACCCTAAATGATGTACAAGAAAAATCAATACATCTGAGAAATAGAAGGAAAGAACTGTGAAAATTGAAACGTTTTGTTCTTAACTCACCTTCTCAGCTTGCTGGCAGTGTATTACCTGGCAGTGTAAAGCAAACAAGGTTTGTTTTTTTTTCTTCCTGGTGCTAGCCAGCTTATCGCTTTTTAATGCCAAGCCAGTTGTGTTTCTTCTGATTCAGATGCATAGTGTGATGCATTTGATGTGTGTTTTATGACTTTCTAGGTTACTCCTAACATTTTCCCATTAAGTATGATTGGCTGAGAAGCATTTGTACATCAGCTGTTATTATTTTTCTCTTATATTTGTGCAAAGAACTTTTTATAAATAGTTTGCTACTCTGTTGAACAGAGCAGACAGGTGCACTGGTTCTCTAGCTTTTCTTTTGGCTCAACATCTTTTCTGGTTATTGAAGGAAAAGATGAAAGAGATTGTTCTGGCAGGCAGCAATGCATGTCTTCTGCACTGTTATGTGGTCACACAATGATATAGGTGCAGTGATGTTTCTCATTTGATTTCAGATCAGAACCATCTGCTGATCTCGGGACAAGCAGATTACTAGGTTAAGCAGTGAGCATTTGTCAGACTGCAGAGGAAGGTCACTGGGTATACTGTAGCCGTAGGCTCTGCTTTTCTTTCTTCATTGTCTTTTTCATAGTACCTGTATTGTCTTACAATTTAAATGCTGTTGCTTACATCCTAAGTATTCAGAAAGTAAGGCAAGGTGCCCATGAATAATTTCAGTATTTTATTTTCCCTGTAAAAATATTTTTGCATAGCAAAAGATATGGTGACAAGATAAGTCCCTGATCTCTCTAGACAAATGTCATAAATGCAGCTACTTTCTTTCATTACTTTTGTCTTTCACTGCTAACATGATAATAATAAGCAGTCCTTTAGAGGTACAGAAGGCAAAAAAATGCATGAGAAGGAAATTAAAGGATGGGTAACAACAGTAGTTTTGTTCCAAATGAGACAACTCAAAAAGATAAACAGTCTAGTAGAAATACCACTGTTCAGGATCGTAAAAATGAAATCAAGAGCTAAAAGGACTTTTCTTCCTCTGTGTGGTGTCAAATTAAACGTTATTGACCTCCTTCAATGATTTATCGTATGGAGAAGACAGGAAGGATTGTATACTGTTATTTAAAAAAAAAAAAAAAAGAAAAAAAAGAAAAAAAGAGTTTTGAAACAATAAACACCTTTCACTGGCAAAATTCAGCCTGAAGTTTACTCTTGCCAGAACCCCCTTGGAAATCCAAGAAATCAAGTAGGTGTGTTCTGCTTGAGTAATCACATGTAAATGCAGATATGCCAGCAGCACTATAATAATGACTGTAGTGTCTTTTGAAAGCACTCTGAAGCTTCTGTTCAAAGATCCTCTTAAATAATTAATTTTTTTTCCCAATTTACGTGCAATATGTAATGACATCCCTGAGAACCAGATTTCCTTCCTTTCTTTTCTTTCCCATTCAAGGAATAAGTACAGCATTTTAATTAAGTCAGTGGTTGCTAACCTGTAATGTAAACTGCCAGTGGAAAAGAAAGTTGATGGAAGAATAGGTCTAGATAGTTCTTTGTTGTAAACCTCAGTAACCTTTTCTGAATATAGAAGGGACAGCTTGAAGGACCCACATATCTCTGAAGTGATCATAGAAGGCTGGCTTTCTCTCGGTGAAACAATATACTTTCTTATTCCTGGAAGAGTGCTGTATGATCATTTACACTATCCTGTTTGTTAAGACTGGCTGGTCAACTGGCTGCATGTATTTGTAATCTATTGTTGTTTCTTTTTTTGTTTCTTTGTTTTTTGGCAGATACTGAACGTCTCTATACATTGGTATTTGAAGAGATATGTGGGCGTTTTGGAAAGACCTATACTTGGGATATAAAATCATTAGTCATGGGTAAAAAAGCACTAGAAGGGGCACAGATTATTCGAGATGTTCTAGATCTTCCAATAACCAAAGAGGAGTTACTACATGAAAGTAAAATGAAGCAGGAGAAGATATTCCATACAGCTGAATTGATGCCAGGTATGCTTCTCTTTAGTATTTATAAACTGCTTATGGAATTAGCTAACTGCTAGCCAAAGTAGAATTTTTTAATCTGATGTCAGTAAAAGTTCCTCTTAGAGACTCAGTTTCATCTCTCTTGCTTTAGCAAGTTTTATTCAAATCTGTTACTTGTGAAAGATATTTTGTCTGTTAAAAGTACTGATTTTTTTTTTCTTATTTACTTGAAACAGCTGCTCTTTATGTGTTTTAAGTACAGAATAAAAAGCAATGTGAATATGCCCAAGTTTAGTTTCATAAACTAGGAATTCTTTAGAATGGTTACTGGCAACTGTGTAACACAGTAAGTCATTTTTCTCTAGTCCAACTTTAAGCCCAGATATTCTTTTTGATGTACAGGTAAATGTATTTGCCCATTTTTATTTTTTTATGAATCTCATTTATGATATAAACTCATGCATTATATTCCATTACTTTTACATGTGGAATGCTTAGAGAAGAATCCTCATCCATAAAAACATAAGCAATATTTAAAGCTAGGACTGCTGTTAACTTTTTCTAAGAAAAGAAAAAAAAAGAAAAGAAAAAGTCCTGGAGCAAATATCAATAATTTATGGGGGAAAAAAAGAAGGAAGTGTGGGAGAAATGAAAAAAAAAACAAACAAAAATATATGTGTATTTAAATGAAGTCACTACATGTCACTAAAACAATTCCAAAGAGATTTTTTTCTCTTTCAGTGTGTGCTTGTTTTTTTTGTTTGCGTGTTTGTTTTCTGGCAATTGCTGCAGCACGTTAATTATATCATTTTAATTTTTAGATCCTTTTTTTATATCTAGTCCCATAAGGCATTAAGAGGTTAATTGTTAAAAATATATGATGTGTTAAAACTGAATAAAAAGAAGCAGAAAGAAAATATGTATTTGCTTAGGTAACTAAAAATTTGAATCTCCTGCTCAGCCAACTTATCTGCATGTCTCTCTGATGCTTTTTATATGCAGCATTTTTGAAACTGTGCCTTTCTCACATGTAGATCCAACTAAGACTGTAAGCCTAGTTAAGCTTGCTAGGTAAACAAAAATGATGGAGAGATTTGTTTGACATAAAAAAAATGAAAAAACTTCTTCAGATTTATCTCATGCAAGACAAAGAAAACCTTTGTCTGGGTTTAAAAACTGTTGGATAGATAGATCGGTGGTGGAAGTGTTAGAAATCACAGAGGAGAGTCACTTTAATGGAGCAGCACATGTAGTAGATGCCACTGAGTGAATAGTCTATATTTGCTGGGGATTATGTTAATGTCAGTGAAGTAGCTTGAATACAGATGCAGAGAGGTGATGGAATAAATTAGCAAAGGAAACATTAAGCTTTGCACTGTTTCTTACTTCAAAAAAAGAGTTCTGGGCTTGCTTGTCTATTATAGATGAATCAAGAAAAATTCTTACTGAGGCAAACGTAGACATTTTTATCGTTGCCAGAATTGTTCAACTGGTTACTCTTTCAGTTCAACTGTATACATGGGATAATTTTCTTCAGACAATTCTCTAAAGCAGAATTAATGTTAGTGTAAATACTTAATTCTTTATGCCAATGTGAGGATCAAATGCAGGCTTGGTCACTGAAGCAATGGGATTTGTACTTTGTACCCATGTATGAGATAGAAGCTGAATTGCCATGAATTTTAAGAAACCCAGGTTGATGTTAGGTATTAATCTAGAAAAAATTGCACTAGCTACTTAGTATTTATTTTATTTAAAGGCTAACCTATGCTTCATTCTGATAGCTATAGTTTTTTAATTGATACCTTTCTTATGTACTTTTATATCTTCTGAGAACATTATTTAATATAAGCCTCATGGATTTATTCTGCTGCTTTTTAATATTCTTTAAGTAAGAATGAGCATCATGCAGGTGTTGTCTAAGATGTAAGGTAGTGTTGACATTTTAGGTTTACAGTGTTCTCTGACTAATCTGGTGTTTCAGATTGTAATCAGGAAATACAGGAAAGTAAAAGTTAATTGTCTTGATATTGGAAGGAGTAAGGTGATTCTGACATGACGAGCCTCTATCTGGTCAACTTGACAGCTATTAGGCAGGTAGCATTCTAGTTTCAATCTATTTTGACAATTTTTTCTGGGAAATAAGATTTGAATTTTGATTGATAAGGAACAGTAATATTTATGCGTCATATTTCTTTCTTAATATCATATTTATTAATGGTATGCATTATTTCCAGCAGTGATAAGTCTGTTAATTCCCAATCAAGTAATTGACAGTTATGTTATTGGTGGTTAGGGATGGTATAGAAGTGTTGTTGGACAGTATGTATCAAAGCCATGCCTCTGCATAAAAGCTTTCAAAGATACTAGTATCTGAAGGTGCAGATTGCAAGATTTCGATATAGCTAGGCTGACCAGCAAGCCTCAATGTATCAAATTCTAGTCAAATAGAGTTTTAATCTACAATGAGAAGAGAATCTATGGGTGTACTGTTAACATAAACCTAGAATATATGCACAGCCAGAAAAATCTACCTCCAAGTTACACAGCTGTCAGTAGGTACTATTGCCATGTCAAAGTTAAGAAATTAACGCTGTTCTTTCATACTTGTCTCTTTTTTTTTTTTTTGGTTCAGCATCATTACAAAGCACAGATGCTTGAGGATTGTGTGGTGGTGTGCTTTTTTCAGAAATTTTCCCCTCCTGGGTCATCTTTGTGAGAACTGGGATTTTTTTCCTTTGCAGTTCCTTTTCAGCCATTGCAGAATGTGAAGTGGAAACCATCTTCCTGTTCAGACTATCTCTTGTAGTCTGGAGTAGATATTTTCAAAGCTTAGTTTATTCACTTACTGAATAAAGTGAATTAGAAATTAGAAGAAGAGAATTAGTACAGGTTTCAATAAGAACTTATTCTAGAGCTGTATGTCTTCTTTTTTTCTATTAAATCGTAACAGTTCTAGTCAACCAGCATTCTAGTTTAGTTTGCTTAGTAATTATTTCCTCAATCAGCATCTGTGCCCTTTAGAGTTAAACAGACTTCCTACCACGTTTTCTTTTCCTTGATATTATTGTTTTAATGGTAAAAAAAAAAAAAAAAAAAAAACTTTTTTTTTTTTTTTTTGGTGAGTCTGTTCTGGATTCAATGAACCTATAACTCCAAAACATCTATCAATTAACTGCTGCACACTGGGAGTGATCATGTCTGTTTGGCTGATTTCAAACATTTGGCCTTTGCACTAAGTCCTGAAGAGCTGCTACCCCAAAAAGGCTTTTACCAGGAAGTAATAAATACAGTTGAGAGAGATTTCAAATTATGTAAAATTTAGCAGGTTGTTTTTTTTTTTTTTTCCCATGGGCTTACCTGTGTCAGAATGTCTAGACTATGACAAAATTAAAGGCTTGGTAAACAAGGAGACCCAATGGCTCTAGAAGAATCTTTGGTGCTCTTTAGAGAAAAGTAAGATGAGAAGATAGAATTCTTCATTATAGCCAATTATTTTTCCAGATGAGGAGTAGGTTATTAGTTTCCATTTATACTTCTGAAACTCAGTGAAAAGATAACGTACCATTACAAATAGCTTTTTTTTAAAAAAAAATGATGTCTCGGAACAAAAACAAAACAGGTGGATATGAGAGAGATATTTCCACAGTCTCACGAGATTCGTGGCAATTACACCAAGTGTTGGATAGTCCCACCTCCATCAGTCTATCACCATCATAGCAGCAATACTGAATTCACCTGAGGATAAAGAATGTGCTGGTAATGAATAGCACTGTTCTGATGGGCTTGGAACTCTTTTAGCACGTAAAAATATTTTAAAATCAGTTTGTGGCATAGGTGAACAGTCGGCTTTTATTGTTCTCAGTGAGATTTATTTTCTCTTTAAGTACTTTTTATGCTTTGTTGCAGTTGAGATTTTTACTGTAAATTGCTTTTAAGATCTTAAAGGATTATTATTGAATTGGCTAAAAATCCAATCAACTTGACTAAACCCTGAGTGGCAACGTTAGCTTTTCTTTGATTAAAAAGAGTGATGAAATCTTGAAAAGCTTTGATTTAGATCTGATGTTACATTTAACACAGTAACTGTAAATGATTTTTAAAAGAAAGAGTACTATATTTAAGATTTCTATTTGTTCACAACTGGCCATAAATCATACAAGACAAGCATAATGCATGTACATAGTTAATTTAAACATGTGAAGCACTTCTTCTTTAGCCATTTTCTCAGAAGTGAATGTTTTCTTTCTAATGTCCACTGAAGCCTCACAGACTACTTCTTCTGTGTAATCACTTGTAGACTTGAGTGTGGGTGTCTAAAGTGCCTTGTTTTTTGTGACCCAGCGGTCAGGTGTCCTCTACACTTATGCTGTTAGTGTGAGTAGAAAGCTGTCTCTGGCACAGTGAATGAGGAGCAACACTGTGTGATGTATTTGAAGAACTTCTTGGGGTGCTGAAGGTCAGCAAGAAGAGAGTGAAGTTGTATTTGTGCTCATAATTTGCTGGCAAGTTATGTGAAGAAAGTACATGGTGACCTGTATATCCCTTCCAACAAAAATTTCAGTGCACAGGGCAAAAATCTGTTGATCAAGATCGTTCTCTAAAAAAAAGTCTGTAGCCATGTCGTTTCTTCCACAGAATATGCTACATCTCAGCTTCAAGACTTTTCAAGCACAGTTATATTAGCACTGGCTATATAGTGTAGATAAACTCTGGAATTACAGGGGACTGCATAACAGTTAAACTGTTAATTGGATGTCATTAGTATATGGATGGCACACAGAGATGGATGAGAGATAAAGTACATAGTTATGGTCATGAAAGAATTGGTCACTAACAATGCCACTGTTTATTTGAGGCATAATTTAATTTAATTAGGTTTTGGGTGTTACAAGTGTATTATTAATTTTCACATCATAATGAATAATGCCATTTCAGTATAAAATGTCATAACTAAAGAGGTAAGCAGTGAGCTTCAATACAGTCTAAGACTCATAGAGACAGTGAGGTGGATCAGAAAGACTGGGGGGACAACCAGGGCCAGAGGGTAGTGGTCGGTGATGCAAAGACTAGTTGGAGGCCAATAGTGAGCAAAGTATCTCAGGGTTGAATAGTGGGTCCAGTCCTGCATTAATTATCAGAATGTTGGGATGGAGTGCACCTTCAGTAAATTTGCAGATGACACAAACCTGGGAAGACTGGTACTCTTGTCTGCATAGAATCACAGAATCACAGAATGGCCAGGGTTGGAAGGACCTCAAGGATCATGAATCTCCAACCCTCCTGCCACATGCAGGGCCACCAACCTCCGCATTTAATACTAGACCAGGCTGCCCAGGGCCCCATCCAGTCTGGCCTTGAACACCTCCAGCGATGGGGCATCCACAACCTCCTCTGGGCAGCCTGTTCCAGCACCTCACCACTCTCATAATAAAGAACTTCCCCATGACATCCAACCTAAATCTTCCCTCCTTCAACTTAAAAGTATTTCCCCTTGTCCTGCAGTTGTCAACCTTTTCAAAGAGTTGATTCCCCTCCTGTTTGTAGGCTCCCTTTAGGTACTGAAAGGCTGCAATTAGGTCACCCTGCAGCCTTCTTTTCTCCAGCTCCCTCAGTCTGTCTTCAGAGGGGAGGTGCTCCAGTCCCCTGATCATCTTTGTGGCCCTCCTCTGGACCCTCTCCAACAGCTCTGTCTTTCTTGTACTGGGGGCTCCAGACTGGGCTCCAGACCTGGACACAGTACTCCAGATGGAGCCTCACAAGAGCAGAGTAGAGGGGGACAATCACCTCCCTGTCCCTGCTGGCCACCCTTCTTCTGACAGAGTCCATGATACCATTTGCTTTCCAAGCTGCAAGAGCACACTGCTGGCTCATGTTAAGATTTTCATCTATCAAGACCCCCTGGTCCTTCTCTGCAAGGCTGCTCTCAAGGACTGCTCCTTCCAGTCTGTATGGATGCCTGGGATTCCTCTGGCCCTTGCACTTTGTGTGTTGAACCTCATTAGGTTCACCTGGTCCCACCTTTCAAGCCTGTTGAGGTCCCTCTGAATGGCATCCCTACAAACAAAATATGGCCAATATGTCCAGAAAAATGATTCTTCCCCTCTGCTCAGCATTGATGATGCTGTTGTGTCAAGTTCTGAGGCCCCTAGTACAAAGCGAGACATGGACGTACTGGAGGGAATTCTTCAGGGCCACCAAGGCAATCAAGGAGCTGGACCACTTCCCTTTGAGGAGAGGCTGAGTGCTAGGGCTGTGCCTGGAGAACAGAAGGAAGGGAATCTGAGTTCCTGAACTTTTGTACTTCTTGTTTGTATTGGTCACTGAAAAGCGAAGTGTGATAATTAGCCAAAGGGTTTTGTTGTTCAAAATATTTGTTGAAAATATATCTGTAGTCTCAAGAGTAATAATTTCTTCCTATTGGTTTAGGTTTTATTTGTATTTATTTTTCCCCGAAAGTTCCTAATTTCATTGACGTTTGTGATTTATCTGTTTTTAAACATGATGATGTTTAAAGTTGATCCTTCTTACTTTCAGCTTACGTATCTGAATTTAGTGTACAGTTCTTTTCACCTAATCTTCTTTCCAATAGTCATCGTTGTGTAACTGTTACCCCAGAAATATAGTAAGTATCTGTGTCTCTTCTAAAACTTAATATTTAAGGGGATAGAAGAAATAACATTATTTATCTTTTTGGTTATTTAAAATGAAAAGAGTATGTTTGGAAACAAATCATGACAATGTAAGATGTTTCTTCCTGATGTTATTACAGAAAAAAATTATGCTGTATGGCCTGGGTTTTTAATTGTATGTGTACCACATCAGGAAAGTCTTCCATAACTAATACTGAAAAAAATGGCGAACTATGTTTCTTTTGATCCAGTAGGAGGAATAGAGGATGGTGCCAAGAAGCTTAACAGATAGGTCTCTCTGTGGTGGATGGGTGTTGATACTCTATGTTATCTACTAGGAAGTGAGTGCACAGGAGTGCACTCTATATTTTTTTCTAATCCATTTTGCTGTTTTTGCACATATAATTTTGAAATAATTACTTGAATATATTTTTACTGAAATATATTTTCTGAGTAATGTAAATCTTTGCCCTCTGAAGGTGTTAGGTACAGCTATCTTATAGGTAGGAAAGTCAAAAAGTGAAGGTAAATACACACGTGTTTATGCACTGAAATCATGACCTGTGCTGAGAGCATATAAGAGAGAACCCTGAGTAAATAACCTTTCAGCAACAGCACTTTTCTGTGGCTGGCTACCTGCAGTAGAAATGTAGAGTAAACATGTACTGACAGATGAGCTGAAGCTTTGAAGCAGCAGGGCTGAAGATAATTAGCAGTCTAAAGAGAGGTATCGTGTTCAGAATGCTGCTATGAAGAAACATTGAAGGCTTTGCATGGGAGATTCAAAACTTGCACTGAATAACAAAGCGCGTTACCTTCTTACAGTGGCTGCTGTATTTTCACCATTCTTGACATTAACCTTCGCTAGAAGATTGGAGCAGATTAAAATTTCTATCTATTGTGGTCAAGATGTTCATTACTCAGGGTTCACATCGTCAATAGATAAAGCTCTGGTTTTAACACCTGTGATTGACAGCTCCACTTTTCTGTCCAATTGCTTTATCTAGTAATTGTAAAAAAAAAAAAAATACTAAGCACTCTTAGGGGCTGGTTTAAACCGGTTGGATAACTGTTTCAAAAATTAAAGACTGTGCCAGTCAGTGAGAAGAGCATATTTCTTTGATATTTGTTTATTTATTCTTTTTTTCCAAGAACATAACTCTAGATATGTTTGAAATAATAAACGCTTATAAAGTTGAGGACATCAAGTAAGCTTCTTATGGGCATATAGATGCAATGGCTTTGAAGTTATTTTCAGCATATTTTGAGAAAATCATCATTTGATGTCGGAATCATTGTATACTTAAAGGAATACTCTTTGATGGAACAAGAACTTTTTCAAATATAGCAAGAAATCTCTTTGATACTAACCAGTCAGAATAGGTTGTTAAATTCAGTTAGACAACATTTTTGAAATATTGCTAAATATGTCATAAATAGGCAGAAATTTTAATACATATAACTCAAATATGTATATATAAATATAGAATAAAATGTACATATCTATTTGTCTTGCAGGGGTCAATAAACTGATCCAACATTTACACAAACACAACATACCCATAGCTGTTGCCACTAGCTCAGCTGAAGTGACATTTCAGATGAAAACATCCAGACACAAAGACTTCTTCAATCTTTTTCATCATATTGTGCTGGGAGATGACCCTGAGGTGAAGGGTGGCAAGCCACAGCCTGATGCATTTCTAGTTTGTGCAAAGAGATTTCACCCTCCTGCACCTCCAGAGAAGGTAAGGAGGGGATGGAACAAATTACCCAAATAATTTTCTTAATATTATAAATATTTAGATTAGGATTTTAAAAAATTTTTGAAAAATCAGCAATGTCTTCCCAACCCCCCACCCAGTGGTGCTTATATTGTTTAAGTTTGTTGGAAAGTGTTATTCCCCTTCACTGCATTATAATATTTGTAATGCAGATTACTCTGATTTACTGCATAGTACTGTGCATAGGAAAGTTCAGTGATTTTCCTCTCTGAATAAATCTTCAAATATGACTTCACTACTCAAAGTTTAGAAAGAGTTATTTAAACATGGATCAGCTCACTTTTCACACCTTCCTGGCTGATTTAGCTAAATATTGAAGATACTTCTTGATAAAGAGGGGTATATATTTTTTCTAATCCATCTATTTACTTATGCATTCTAAATCTCTGAGATCATATTTCTTGTTTTCTGATTTAAAGACTGGTAAGTTTGAGCAATCTGTAGCAATGTTTAGTTTCTCCTTCATATATAACTTTGCAAACTTGATTCTGAAATAGAAATCTGTAGGGAGAATATCTCAAAGATAAATTGGTAGTGAGAGTATGTGTTCACTTTTATTTCAAATAAAATTGTCATTCTCCTGAAAATATTTTTTTCACTTCTCGTCTATCCTGAGTGAAGCATGAATTCTGATGTTTTGGAGTTTCATTACAGAAATGCATTGCATACTAATTTTTTGAGTGTTTTAGACTGTGATTACTGATTTCTCTGTAGGATTGTTGAGAAAAAAAGGTGTGTGCAAAGATATAAGGAATGAGTAGATAAGATTCTTCAGCCTTTCATGTTCTAAGTTTTCACCCAGAGACCAACTGGTATTTGTGTTGTCTTGAAATACAAAGTGAAATAATTTGCAATGAATGTGTCATAATATAAACAGTGTTAACTAAACTTTTTTTCGTCTTTTCGTTCTGAATATGTGAATCAACTTCATTTCAAAAACATACCCCAATGTACTTGATCATTTGAACTGGAATTGTATAGTCTGGAGAAGAGGAGGTTTAGGGGGGACCTTATTGCTCTCTTCAACTACCTAAATGGAGGTTGTAGTTAGGTGGGGATAGGACTCTTCTCCCATGTAACTGGTGAAAAGAAGAGGGGTAATGGCCTTAATTTGTGCCAGGGGAGGTTCAGGTTGGATAGTAGGAAAAAAAAAAATTCTCAGAAAGAGTCATAATGCATTGGAACAGGCTTCCTGTGGAGGTGATGGAGTCACAACCATTGGAGCTTTTTAAGAAAAGGGTAGATGTGGCACTGAGGGGCATGGTTTAATGGGCCTGGTAGGGATAGTTAACAGCTGGACTAGACAATATTAGAATCATTAAGACTGGAAAAAGCCTCTGTTTCTATAAGGGGTCGGAACTCTCATGAAGAATCAGTGTGTCAAAAAAATTCCAAATGATTTAAATCTCTCTTAATTTAAAATGTATTCCCTAGCATTTTATTCCATTCAAATTAATTAACTGATCTAACAGTTATGAATATTCTCTGCATCAGATCTAGTAAGAGCTCATTAAAATTTTTCAGATTGATTAAATGGCATTAGAAGTTGAGAGTCTCAGTGGACTTCTTATATCATAGAAAAAAGAAGCCCAAAATGAAATTTCTGGAGATGCTGTATCTTACAAAAGATATGTTGAAAGAGTAATATAAATATAAATTCAGGACATTGTGATTTTGGTCCAATATTAGTCTATATTGCACAAGAAAGCAGAGGATTTAGAAAGCTGGTATACCACATCATTTCTGTGAACTTCTGTAAAAAAGAAGATCAAAAACCAAGTTTTATCTCTTATGCCTTTTTTCTTTCTTCTTTGTTTCCCTCTACTGAATCATTTCTATGAATCATTTTTACTGTGTGCATATAGTAGATGTATTTCAGTCACTATGGTTTTCAGATAAGGAGTTATTTTATTAGTATTATTTTTGTTATTTTTTATGTATATCTGGAAGTTGAATTTATTAAGAGTACTCTAAATAAGACAGAGAAATTACAAAGGCTTGAACAGTCATTCTAGGCAATGCACTGAGCTGTAAATTAGAATCCCTGCTGTTGAAATCATATATTTTAGTCATTTTGTCTGCCTATTTTCCATTTTGTAAATAAATTGACACTTTTTTTCTGAGCGCTTACAATTCAAAAATCAGCCATTTTATTTTAGAAGTAACAAAAGCATTAAAAGGAAAATAGATATTTTTCAGCGTAGTTCAAATATACATAATTAGCTGTCTCTTCAGCCTTTGCTCTAGTCTAGTTTTTTAATTAGGCCTTTTGTACCAATTTTTCTTCAGCCAAAACACTCTTTCAAATATTTATTTCCAATATCTATATAATGTAAGTGTCCAACCTTTTGGATGCATTGAATGATGAGGAACTATCTTGGACCAGTGTTTCAGTTGTTTGGCTGGACTGGTTGGTGGGGGAAGAGCCACAAACATGTTGGTGTGGTGGCAGGGCATGGGGCACATTACTAGCTGTCCCACGTGTTGGACATGCCTGCTGTAAGTCATGTTGATGTACCCATGCTCTGTTGTCCGGTCTTCTTGGAATCTCAGTTTTTACCACTTATTTTTAGCATATTGCTAGATACTTGCTTTTTCCAGTGGAATAACCTCTGACCATAATGATCTCAGTAAACCTGACTTTCAAAGCATTAGACTTCAGTCAGCGGGGTAAGTAGTAATGTTTGTAGTATATATTACCATTGTTCTAGATGTGTTGAGAAGCAAATACATCTTGTGGCAGGAGCCACTTGCAGAGTGAAGAGGGAAAAATGTTTAATATTCTTTCTAGATTCTGGTAGTTTTTTAGATGAAAGACACATAATTTTTTTTGTTCACTTTTTTTTTTTTCTGAAGTCACTTTTCTATACTGGTCATTGGTGAATTTGGATAAAGCTGTTAGTAGATTGGAACCAGTAAAAAATATTCTGTGTTTTGCTGTCTCAGTGTCTCTATTATCCTTGCTGCATAGTGGCCAAATTCCTTATGAAATAGAAAAGTCCCTTCCTTGGTAGCAGTGAGGTTGTGTGATGGGGACACCAGTTCCTGGGAGATGGCAGATCTACTGAGTAACTGGCTCAGGGCTGTGAATCCACTCCTCTCTGCATAAGATTTTGGAACCAGTCCTCCTGTGTATGTGCTATGTATATGCTCAGATTTACAACAAAAACAGAGTTCATTCCCTTGACAGATTAAGGTTAGATATGACAGTTACTGTATTACTGTTAGCTTATGGAGTGTGAGTGGGAGATGAATGAAGTATGTCACTACATTTGTGTATCCGGATTATTTTGGTTGTTCCATGCAGAAAATAAATAAAGTCTGAAAAAGTGTATCAGCTGACTTGAGATCAGGACATTTCCAGCTGTCTGCCTTCTAGCCAAGATGATGTCCAAAACATATTAGGAGACTCCCTTTCTTGCTCTATACTTTCTTGAGAAGTGAGATATATATATATATATATTTTTTTTTCTGTGACTCCAAAATTGCCCAGCAATAGTCACAGCTTGTGTCTATTTCTCAGGAACTAAATCTCTTGTGGTTACATGTTTGCAAAGCATAATTGGAAAAGTCATCCCAGGTCACTCCTAAACCATCAAGAAATGTTGACTCCACAGATGTTGTAGCAGAAATCTGGGACCATCATTTCTCTTCTAAAGCTAACCTGTGGAGAAGGTTGCCTTTATCTTGGACACTGAATTTTATTTCCTAAAAAAAAAAATCAGAAAAATAGCCTCTAGATCACTGTTTAAATTGACAATTCAGTCTTCCAGTTCTTGTGTTTCCCTAGTGAATGACCTACTTACAACAGGATATACCAGCTGTTGTTTTCTCCAGAATGTTCCTGACCATGACATTTTTTCTGAATGCATAAAGCTTTAATTGTTCTTACTTTGCACTATGTCTGAAGACTTATTTACAGACTGCATTTGAGCGGGTTTTAATTTTATTATTTAGGATTGTTGCTGGCATAGCTCTTGAATTTTAATGATTATAGGGCAATGCAAAGTAATCAAGAGCATACCTTTAATATTTTGGTTTGTTTTATTAATAGAAATTACATATATATGCAACTACTTCATTATGATTCACTGAATCTTACTATATAATCACTAATGAAAGATTCTCCATTAAAACTTATTCCTTCCTTGTTATATTATTTCTTGTATGCTATAGATAGGTGTATAATTTGTTATATTTCCTGTAATCTTCTAGAACCCGGTTATCATCCCATTCTCAGGCAGATCTACTGAAATCATCTCTTTTTTCTTTTATGTTCACAAACTCTGACTCTAAGCATGTAGAACTTTTTTTCAGTACTGTATTTAAAATATACAGCATACAGTCACCATTCATTTTAAATTACATGCTGGAATAACTAGTTCATGCCTGATGATACAGTATCACACAAGGAGAATTTTGGTATCATAGCTGCATGTTTCCAGAAATAAACTGGGGGGTCTCAAAGAATTTTTTAAGAGGCAAGTTAGGATTTTATTTCTATCTTGCAGGTTAGAGTAGGCAAAGGCATGAAACTAGTTTATCTGATTCAAATTCCTTTCTCCCCAAAAATTATTTTAAAAGGGCAAGCTAGTACTTTTAATGGGTATTAAAGGAATTCAATCTTTGAAATAAAGAAACACTTTTTTTGTGTTATTGGCTTATTATCTTGTTATCTATGTATTTCATTGTCTACACAGAAACAACTACCAAATCCCTCATTGACTGGTAAAGAAAACACAATACTGGGAGGTGCAGCAATGACATCTCCATAGGATGGCTAAGATAAACTTAGAGCATGTCCTGAAAAAAAATTTTTTTCTCTCCCAATTCTTCATGCAGATTTTTTTGTTTGTTTGTTTAAACTGTGCTAATATTGCCCTGGTGGAAATTAATTCTAAAATTAATGCTTTTAAATCAACAGAAATCTAGTTTTCAGCTAAAGTGCTCATCCTGACTACAAA